AGGTCACCACAGTGGGCGGAGGTCTGCCCAGGGCCACCTCACTGGAAAGCACAAAGGCACTACTGATGGTAGAGGGGACAGACTGGGATATGACCCTCCGAGGCATCCACTGCCCCTCTACCCCGAGAGCAAGAGCATCACAACCTCATCTGTTCCTGCTGCCAGGCAGAGGCTTCTGAAAGTGAGAAAACAGATGTACCATGATGATGAACAGGGACAAAAATCGTGCCTTACGTTGCTGTTTCCACAATGTACTGCTGAACCCGGACCTTTGGTTAATTTGAGGAAGTCACACTCCCACTTGGGTAGAGAAATCCATATCTAGTGATGAAAGAGGTCTCCTGAACACTGCATTTTCTTTTTATGAAGGGAAGTCTTTATAAAGCCAACATGAAAAAAAATTTCTCAGGCAATAATATGTATTTCATTATGGAAATGATTATAATGTGAGTGCATAAATAGACAAGGCAGATTAAAGAATTGAGGCATTTAAATAGCCAGTTCAGGCAAGAACCAAAGCTATTGGCAGAGGGTGGGAGTGGGGTAGTACTTTTTATTTTCACATTAGGAAGGAATTATTCAGATTGGATGCTTGTGTTGTTCAACTCTTATTTTGTATTTCATTCAATGTATTGCAGTCCATGGCCTTTACATCTATGCCTCTCAGCCAAAAAAAAAAAAAAAAAGCTTTTGTGAGTTAAAAGACATTCTCAATAGAGTAAAAAGACAACCCACAGAATGGTAGAAAATATCTGCAAATCACATCTGATAAGGGATTAACATTCACAGTATGTAGAGAACTCCATACAACCAAATACACACATGAAAGAAGAAAAATAAAAGAGAGAGAACTCCTAAAACTCAACAGCTAAAAAACAAACAACATGATTCAAAAATGGGCGAAGGACTTGAATACACATTTCTCCAAAGAATATATACAAATGTCCAATAAACACAGGGAAAGATGCTCAACATTACAAATCATTAGAGAAATACAAATCAAAACGATGAGATACCACTTCATATCCATTAGAGTAGGTATCAAAAAAACAGAAAATAACAAGTGTTGACAAAGATATGGAGAAACTGGAAAACAGAATTGGAGGCTCCTCAAAATATTAAACATAGAATTAACACATGATCCAACAATTCCACTCTAGGTATATACCCAAAAGAATTAAGGTCTTTTTTTTGGAGGTGGGGGGTTGGGGATGGAGGGATTGGCCAGTGTGCAGATCCAAACCTGTGACCTTGGTGTTATAAGGCTGTGCAGCAACCAACTAAACCAACTGGTCAGCCAGTCAAAAGAACTGAAAGCATGGTCTCAGAGAGATTTTTATAAACCCATGTTCAAAACAGTATTATTTACAAAACATGGAAGCAACCCAAGTGTCCTCTGATGAATAAATGTATACACAGAATGTAGTAAATATATACAATGGAATAATAAGGAAGGAAATTCTGACACATGCTGCAATGTGGTTGAACCTTGAGGATATTATGCTAAGTGAAGCCAGTCACAAAAAAAATGACTACTGTGTGATCTAGATAAATAGTCGACATAGGAAGAACTTGGGGTAGCCAAATTCATAGAAACAGAAAGCAGAGTAGTGATTGCCAGGGGCTGGGAGGGAGTGGAAATGGGGAGTGGTTGCTTGATGGGTACAGTTTCAGTTTTGCAAGATAAAAAGCATTTTGGAGACTGTTGTTTGGATGCACACAATATAAATGTACTTAACACTACCAAACTGTATACTTAAAAATGATTAAGGTGGTAGATTTTATGTTATATATATTTTAACACAATTAAAATTTTTTTCTGAATTAAAAAAAGAATATTAGTGTTTTAGTGTTTTGGTCCAGGAAACAGAACCCTTCAATTCTGCCCTATAAGCCTGTGCCTTGGTTACCCACCTTCCTCACAGGCCAGTGTAGCCCAGAGCCCCAGCTGTGAGCCTTCGAAGCCGCCATGGTCCCCTCTGTTAACAGTGTGGACAACTCCTACTATTCCAACCTCCTGAGGCTGCTGCAAAAATAATGTGGTGGCTTCTAAAAGCGCAGCACCCCACACACCAGGAATTATATACAATGTGGGAGAGAGAATCGCAGCATATCCATGTTGCAGGCTGTCAACAGCAATGCTGTGGCAACCAAGTCAGCCCTTGAATCCAGCATCAAAACCAGCCGAATTTCTCCAAGGTGTGCTTGGAAAGACAGTTAATGCCCAGGAGGTGGCCTGCACTCAGAAGGACAGGACCATTCAAGGAGCAAGCCAACCCAAGCCTGTGTGAGAGGCTGGAACCCACAAGGGCAGACAAGGGACTCTGCCACCTCCCATTTGGATCCCCTGACACGGGAGGCTGGGTGCTCCCTGCCAACCAAGGTGGGGGCTTCACAGACCCCTTGCCATTCAGCATCATAAACACACTCTTGGGGCAGGGTCACAGGGAAACATCTCCAGAGACATGGGAGAAGGTCAGAAGGGCAGAGTGGGGTGGGCAAAGCATTTACACGGATCCATTGGAAACTAGAAGACTCTGCAAAGATGACATCACCATGAGCAAAACAGAACAAAACTCCCATGGACAAGGGACCAACCTGGGATGAAAACACTGTCAGTGACATATGGGTTAGATGGGTGGGTAGATTCCTACTCATCTGTTTTCTAAATGTCACAGCAGGAGAATACCAACAATTTAGAACCACCCCCAGGCTGAGGGGGCCGTCTTTGGGACTCAGCCCCCTGTGTAGAAGGCAGCTGAGCAGTTCACTGTAAAACAGAAGCAGAGACCAGCCTCCTGGGCTCTCACCTGGAGCAGAGTTTCTGACCTCCAGATCTCGTGGGAGGCGGGGTCTGCATTCACAGATGTCTGATGAGAGAGATGCCGCTTCAGGAGGCTGGTGTGGTGGAGGCCGTAGGAAGCAAAGGGCACAGCTGGAGTCCTGAGGGAGACATGGAAACAGAACCAAGTTACGGGCTTCCGCTGGCCAATCCAGGGGCCATTAGGACATCAAAATCTATGACAGCAGGAACAGATTACAGCTTGTTCAATCACATGATGAACCCCTAGGTCCATACTGATATGCCTGAATAAATAAATGGGGAAGAGAAAAGCTTCCTTATCACAGAGTGCCCACAAAAAATGTAAGAGGGATGAAAGGAGAAAACTGTCATTTGGCAACCAACATATTAATAACTGATTTGGCTGAGAATAAACAGTGGGTGCTAACACTAGTGATAATTACATAGTCTCAATATATCCTCCTGTTAAGTCCTCATTACCAATTAATTTAGGGACAAAGTACTTATCTAACTTTACAGTAGAAAAGCCTGGCCGACAGCCACCCAGCCCAGTGATCAAGCTGGAGTCACCGGTAATGGAGCAAAGAACACCATGGGACTCCTGACAGATGCTTGGGAAGGACCTGGCCTCACTGCTGCAGTGCTCCCACCAACAAAGCCCAAGCCAGGCCTAATCTCAGACAGAGAAACAGCAGAGAGCCCAAGTTTGGGGGGTTCTACACACACCTGGCCTGCATGATTGAGGGGTCAAAGTTCGGAAAGATACAGAAAGACTAAGAGACTGTTCCAGACTGAAGCAGACTAGAGAATGCTCGCAGTGAGTGAGCCTGTGCTGGATGCCAGGCGGATAACGGACATGAGCGGGACAGCTGGTGGTGAAACCCGAATGGGGGTGACAGGGGTAGGTGGTGGCTTAGTAGCAATACTAACTTCCTGATGAGGACAGAACCACTGTGGTCACATAGGAGAATGCACTCACTTCTAGGAAAAATACTCATATTATGAGGTCAGAGGGCATCACACCCTTAACTGAAACAGCCCAGAAAAAAACTTGAGGATAAAACAGACACGGTGAAGTGTTAACAATTCAGAAATCTGGATGAAGGGTCTATGAAAGTTCTTTATGTCATGCATGGCAACTCTTCTGTACATCTAAAGTTATTCCAAAATAAAAAACTAAAATAAGCAAACGAGACCCAGAAAACTGCTTGGTAGCTGAATTCCGCCTTTGAGAGGGCATGAATCCATCCCACCTTTGAGTCCTTCTCAGTGGCAGCACCCCCAACGTGTCAGGTCATCAGCCACTGCTGCCACTTAGGCAGTCTCTCCTCCTTCCGATGTCCCTATTCTCCTCCACTGTCCAGGGGCATCTGGCTACACATATGTTTTGGGAAATGGCACAGCCTGGCATGCACATGCTGGCAGATGTGGCGTGGCCAGCATCTGCAGGGAAGAGTCTGCACACAGCCTCCCGGCAAGGTTAAAGAGAGTCACAGGAGCACAGGCGGCTGGTACCATGAGGCCCTGGGCTAGGGCCCACTAAGCCCCCCAATCACCCTCAGGCTGAGGCTGGCAGCATATGCCCCCACTATGCGTCCTGGGTCAGGCTTGGCCCACTTGGCCTGCATGGCCTAGCAGAAAAGGCTCTTCACCCCAGCAAGTCCCCCTCAGGCCAAGACCTGGCGTCCTGGGGCCCACACAAATTTCTACCATTCTTTTTTGTCTACAGGACAACCCTTCCACCCTGCTCACTGACTTAGTGTGGGGCGCAGACATTCTTGCAGGGAGGACTGCTACAAGCAGAACACAAGCCCGCTCCCACACCAAAGCGAGGCCTCATCAACAAGGACAGACCTGGGCCGGCCCGGTGGCGCACTGGAGAGTGCGCCGCTTGGGAGTGCAGTGGCGCTCCCGCCGAGGGTTCAGGTCCCCTGTGGGGCCCGGTTCCCGCTCCCTGGG